CTGTTTGTCTGTCCTTGGATTCCAGCATCTGCAGTTATTTTCTGTCTCTCTCCCCTCATGTATTTATCTGGCTTCCTCTTAAATGTATTTTCTGCTGTTCATTGCTACCACCTCCTGGTAACAATCTTCACAGTTCCACCCTCATCAGGGGAAAAGAAATTCCTCTGAACACCCAATCAGATTCATTATCGTTATTCATATTTATAGCCTTTCCCATAACAGAATCACAGATCACAGAATCCCTACAGTGTGGAAACAGGCCCTTCGGCCCAACAAGTCCACACTGACCCTCAGAGCATCCCATCCAGACCCATCCCCCTATAACCCACCTAATCTACACATCCCTGAACACTATGGGCAATTTAGCATGGCCAATCCACCTAACCTGCACATCTTTGGACTGTGGGAGGAAACCGGAGCACCCGGAGGAAACCCACACAGATATGGGGAGAATGTCTGTGTGGAGTTTGCACAGTCACCCGAGGGTGGAATCGAACCCGGGTCCCTGGCTCTGTGAGGCAGCAGTGCTAACCACTGAGCCAGCGTGCCAACCCTGTTTAACAGTGAGCAACAATTCCATTTTGAAATGATTGAACTCTTCCATCGTTTTAAAGACCTCAATCCTCTTCCACCTCCTCTTTTCTAGAGATAAAAAGAGTTCCAGCCTGTTTCCCGATAACCTCTTGGTTATGCTATCAGAATCGCTGTTTGCACTCTGTCCCGGTTTTGTTCTTAACCCGAGGGGCATTAGGAGCAACGCTTACATCTTGTAGCAGACACTGGACAGGGAGCAAACCAAACCCATTGTGAAAGAGGTGGCTTCACTGCTTCATGTCAACTGATATGGTGAAGAGACTGGCCCATGACAGACAGGGCCCACTGCATGTGCCCCAGGTGGTGGGTAAAAGGGGCTAAAACCATCACAAAAGGAAAAGCCACATGATGGGAGTGTTACACTGTCCCTGTCCTGGGAGTGTTTGATGGGGGACAGTGTAGAGGGAGCTGTACATTCAGTTTACAAAAGCAGCATGAGGATCACTTACCCTCCGAGAGAGCGATCTTACTGATTTCCCGCATCAAAGTGAAGTCTCCAGCACTGATACAGCGATGCACAGCATTGAGTAAGGCAGTGACCATCTGGCTCCAATCAGACAGTAGACTGCAAGCTATGGCCAGACTAAGGTCATGAGCCAAGTACAGCATCAGCTGGGAGAGAGAAACATTCATGTTACTTTCTGCAATGAAACATTAAAACTATCCGGGAGATTGATCCGGAATATTCCAGCTACTGGTGAAATACCAAAGATCCTCACCATCATCTCAACATTGTGCCTTTCCACCACCTCAGCACCCTCCCGCCCCACCACTGTGCTCCTCCACACTATAAGCTTCAACCTTGCCCCCTTTATTCAAGGAGGGTTAGACTTAACACTGGATGCAGTTCAGCAAAAATTCACTGGTTAAGGGACTTCTGAGAGAACAGAAAAACAAACCAAGCAGATTGGGCCTACCTACGCTCACTGGAGTTCAAAAGAGTGAGAGATGGTCTTAGTGAATCACCTCTGATTTTAAGGGGGTTTGACAGGGTGGATGCTGAGGGAGTGTCTCTCCTCAGGAGGGAACCCGTATCCAGGGGGCACAGATTCAGAGGGGTTTCCCACCTCAGACAACAATGAGGAGGAATTTCCTCTCTCAGAGGATTGTTAGTCAGCGCAAGAGGTTGGTTACCTCAGTTGGCTGGATGGAGGGAAGCCAACAGCATGGGTTCAACTCCTGCACCGGCTGAGGTTCTGACAAAGGCCTCTCCTTCTCAATCTCTCTCTCCTGACCCAAGGTGCGGTGACCCTCAGGTTAAACCACCACCAGCACCCCTCTCTCTCTCTCTCTCTCTAATGGGAGAGCAGACCCATGGTCCGGTAACTTTCAGTCAATGTAATTCTCTTCTCCAGAGAGCAGTGGGTCATTGAACATATCCATGGTTGAGTTAGACGGGTTTCTCACCGATTTGTAGGGGGTGGGGTGAGTCGAAGGTAATGGTGGGGGGGACAGGCAGGAAAGTGGAGTTGACGCCACAATTATATCAGAAGTGATCAAACTGAATGGAGCTTCCGAGTTGGGTGGATAAACAGCCTGCTTGTTGTTTGTTATGTTCACTCCTCCTTCAGTCTCTCAGGTCCCTGAAGGTAACCAGACAGGTTCTCAGGGTTGTTTAAATCAGCATACAGGAGGCTTGCCTTTATCAGTCAAGGCGTAGATTATAAGAGCAGAGGAGGTGATGTTGGAGCTGTACAGGGTTAGGGTTAGGTTGTTGCTGGTTCACTGTGTGCAGTTCCGGTCACCACACTATAGGAAGGATGTGATTGCAGTAGAAGGGATGCAGAGGAGATTGACCAGGATGGTGCCTGGGATGAAGCACTTTATCAATGCAGAGAGGCTGGAATAGTTTGGGCTGTTTTCTTTGGAGCAGAGAAAGCTGAGATGGGGAACCTGATAGAGGTGCATAAACATTGCAGTGGTAATGGCACTAGTTACAGTAACGTCCAGGCCAGCCAATTCAACAGGTACACGGGTTCAAAACCTATCAAGGCAGCAAGTGGAATTCAAACAAGTCTGGAATATAATGGTGCAGTCAGTAACAGCAACCACAGAACTATCACTGAATGCTGTTAGACACTCATCTGGTTTAATGTAAAGAGCAAAATACTGCAGATGTTAGAAATCAGAAACAAAAACCTGAAAGTGCTGGAGGAACTCAGCAGGTTTGACAGCACCTGTGGAGGGAGAAACAGGGTCAATGTTTCAAGTCCCATGTGGTCTTCAGTGGGTCACTGACATCCTGTAGGGAAGGAAATCTGCTGCCTCTACCTGGTCTGGCCTCCATTTCCAGGTTGCATTGGAATCTGCTCCCACCAGCCTTTTCAGGCAGTGCATTCCCAGGCCACAAACTACCCACTGTTACAGCTCTCACCAGCCCAGCTTCATAGCGAGAGGCGTTTCAGGTTCAAGCTACAAAATGGGAGCAGCACGGTGCACGCTCAGTAGTTAACCTCAGCCTCTACAGCCCCAGGCTTGTTCTCTGTGCTCCTAGGATGGGGGGGCTCCCCCGCAGGGAGGACATACTAAAACATTCCCTCAGCTGGGCACTATCCCATTGACCGCGAAGGGCAAATCAACCTGACGGTGATACCTCCAGCAGCTGACCAGCCAAGAAACCTTTGCTGGACGCGGCTTGGAACGGACATCCAGCACAAATGGAGTCAGGAGGTTCCAAAAGTAAAACTGGGAAAACAAAAATCACACGGGCGAAGGACAGAGAAAAGGGGAAAATGGGAAAGCGTCAGAAATAAAGAGAGTAAAGATAGGGTGTGTGTGACAGCGAGGGCGTGAGAGGGGAACAGGCAGAGAAAGGAGAAAGCAGGAATGTTGCAGTTACCAGTCTGGGCAGGGTGTTGGGAGATGCCTCTGGATGTTCAGTTATCCTCAGCTGCTGATGAGCAGTCTTCAATCGCTCTGTGTCGGCTGACGTGATGCCAAACTCACATTGCCAGATTGCAATCACCGAATGAATGAGGGGTTCATCCCTCCGTAAGGTCCAATCGTGGTAGCAGGGTGGGTTCATACTCTTCCACAGAATCAGATTCCCATCGGCAAGATACCGGTACAGTAACTCATATGTACACAGCACCAACCTTTGCCCCTGGGCAGAAAGGTAACAGACAATTAAATCAGGGACACGTGTTTGTAACTCGACATTAGGAATTGGAAGCAGTCATTTACACCATCCTACCTCAACCGTTCCTTCTTTGGCACTGGCCAAAATCCCAGGTTTGGGTGGATTGGCCATGCTAAATTACCCATGGTGTCCAGGGGTGTGCGGGCTGGGTTGGTTAGCCATGGGAAATGTAGGGTTACAGGGATAGGGTAGGGGGGTGGGTCTGGTGGAATGCTCTTTGGAGGGGTCAGTGTGGACTCGAAAGGCAGAATGGCCTGCTTCCACACTGTAGGTATTCTATGAATCTAAAATGACCCCTAAGAGTCAATATAGTGTGGATCTGGAGGAACACAGCAGGCCAGGCAGCATCAGAGGAGCAGGAAAGTTGACGTTTCGGGTTTAACCCTTCATCAGGGCTCATGAGGAAGGGCGTAAACCCGAAACACTCACTTTCCTGCTCCTCTGATGCTGCCTGACCTGCTGTGTTTCTCCAACCACACACTGTGTTGTCCCTGACTCCAGCACCTACAGTTTTTGCTGACTCCGAAGAGTACGGACTGCACAACAACACACCAAGGTGCAATCACAAAGGCAGCTCTCGCTCCTTTCGTCTGGTTGGTCTGGCAGGAGGCAGCTCACAGCCAGGCGTTCGTGGTTCAAATCCCGCTCTGGCACTTCAGCACAAACCTCCTGGCTGACACACCCAGGGCAGTCACGAAGGAGTGCTGCGGTGTCGGAGGCGCCACTCTTCAAAGCAAGAGGTTAAGCCGAGGTCCCCTGTCTAAAATAGCCATAAAAGGTACCAGTATACTTTATTTAAAAGGGGAAGGAGACAAAAAATGTAGGCAACTATAGAGCAGTTAACAATTCTCCCAATGACAGATGTTGAGCTAAGAGTCTATGATAAAAGATGTAACAGCAGAGCATTTAGAAATACCTGATATGATCAAGCCGGGTCAGTATGGCTATAAGGAGAGAAAGTCGGACCTGTCAATTTTATTATAATTCTTTGAGAAAGTAACAAGCAGGATACACAAAGTGGAAGACGTTGATGTGAGGTGCGTGGATTTTCAGCTGTTTATTAAGGAACCACAAGTTAAGCTACTTAACGCAACAGATTTGGAAGTCCTCACTCATGAACCAGATAGCATCCAAGTTCCGTGGGTAATTGGGAAGGCGAATGGAATGTTGGCCTTTATTTCAAAGGGAATGGAGTCTAAAAATAGGGAGGTTTTGTTAAAACTATATGAACGGCACTAGTTAGACCACAGCTGGAATACTGTGAACTGTTTTGGGCCCCTTATCTAAGGAAAGACACACTGACATTGGATGCAGTGCAGGGAAGGTTCATCAGGTTGATACCAGAGTATGGAGGGACTGTCTTACGAGCAGAGGTTGAGTAGGTTGGGTTTGTCCTCATTGGAGTTTAGAAAAATGAGAAGTGATCTCATTGAAACATTGAAAATTCTTAGTGGACTTGACAGGGTGGATGCAGAAAAGGTTGTTCTCTCTTGTGGGAAAGTCTAGGAACAAAGGAAGTAATCTCAGAATAAAGATCGTTCACTTAAGACAGAAAGGAGGTGGAATTTCTTGTCTCAGAGGGTAGCAAATCTGTGGAATTCTTTACCAGAGGGCTGTTGAGGCTAGGTCATTCAGTATATTCAACGCTGAGGCAACAGATTTGTAATCAGTAAGGGAATCAAGGATAATGGGGAGAGGCAGGAAAGTGGAGTTGAGGATTATCAGATCAGCAATTCTTATCTACTTTCACCAGCAGTGGTTATAGGCATTTAGACAGACCCACAAACAGGTAGGGAATAGAGGGATACTGACCATGTCCAGGTAGATGGGATTAGTTTAGAATGGCATCATGGTCGGCACAGAAATGATGGGCTGAAGGACCTGTCCTATGTTCTGCTCCTACAATGTATGGTCTTATATTGAAGAGGAGTAGTAGAGTAGCTATTCCCTCTGTCCTGACAAATATGGATCTCTCAAATCAACATCATAGAAACTTTCTGGTCAATATCATCTTGCTTCTAGTGGGCTCTTGCTGTGCACACAAGGGCTGTTGCGTTACCCATAATTCAAATGTGCCCACACTTCAAAAGTCCTTCAATGGCTGTGAAAGTGCCTTGGGATGTGCAACGGTTGTCAAAGGTGCTATAGAGATGAGAGACTTCCCACACAACCCCTCTGACCTGCGTTCTACAATGACCAGTCCCCAGTTTCCATACAGGGTGGACCCGGATCTGCCGGAACAGTGGGATGGGGGAAGCAGGACGCCAAAGGTTAAACCCCTCCCTTGTACTCACCAGCAAACCCTCCTGCGGGCGCAGGATGTCTTGTGCCCCCTGCCAGTCACGCTGGGCTAATAGGTCCAAGGAGCATCTGGAGGAGAACAAGGAGGACAGCTCCTGCTCCCCAACGATCGACGCCACTGTTGCAGCGGTCTGTAGCGAAGGCACGTCACCCTTCCTTGCCAGGATCTTAGCCGCATCGTAAGGAGACTGGGCTGTTAGGTAGCTGCAATGGTGTAGTGAGCAGGTATTGGCCAATCTCCATGATAGTCAGTTCAAAACACACAATCCCCGGCGTTCTCTTGGAGCCCCTCCCTCCACCCAGAACACTCGGGAACAAATTCTCATAGGGGCAACATTATCAGTCAGAAACTACCCCTTTTTTTCTGTCATGGTAACCACTAAATCCACACCACCACCACCACCACCACCACCACCACCACCCCCCCGACCCCAACAGGGATATTTCCCCCCATCCCACCTACATTGATGTTACAACACAAAGTGGATGGCAATGGCATCAATAGTGGTATTATCGCTAGGCTATTAATCCAGAAACTCAGCTAATGATCTGGGGACCTGGGTTCAAATCCCGCCATGGCAGACGATGGAATTTGAATTGAATAAATATCTGGAATTAAGAGTGCAACTAATCTATTGGAAAAACGCATCTGGTTGACTGATGTCCTTTAGGAAAGGCAATCTGCCAATCTTACCTTTTTTTTTAAAAAAGTATCCATCCGCGGATGTGGGTATCGCTGGCTGGGTCAGCGTTTATTGCCCATCCCTAATTGCCCAGTGGACCGTTAAGAGTCAACCACATTGCAGTGGGTCTGGAGTCACGTGTAGGCCAGACCAGGTAAGGACTACAAACTTCCTTCTTTAAAAGGCATTAGTGAACCAGATGGGTTTTTCCTGACATTCGACAATGGCTTAATGGTCATTAGACTCATATTTCCAGATCATTATTGAATTCAAATTCCACCATGTGCAGTGGCAGAATTTGAATCCAGGTCCCCAGAACTTTACCGGGGCCTCTGGATTAACAGTCCAGCGATAATACCATTAGGCCTTTGCCTCCCGACAGTCATGCGACCCCAGACCCACAGCAATGTGGTCAACTCTTGACTGCCCCTCTGTGCAATTAGGGATGGACAATAAATACAAAAAAAGACCAAAAGAAGTTGTCAGTTCTCTCCGCCACAATAATTAATCCCAGTCGTGTTTAACCCCCTGCTGTCCTGGGACGTTAAACACCTTTTATCTTTATGCACTGCCTGTAGGTTGACAGTTTCTGCATGATCTACAGACCCTGTGGAAGTGAACGCCACAGCAGAGGAACTTCCTCGGATTTGTTCACATCTAATTGATCTTGTTACCACAGATTTGTCTGAAAACAATCAGACTGTGTCCTTGTGTCCTGTCCTGTTACATGTTCTTTACTGCACAGAAAGCAGTCCATGTCAATGTTCATTCACCACACAACCCTCTCCCCCACCTCACTTCATCACAACCCATCAGCATTACTTTCTCTTCATTAAGCCCTGGGATGTGGGAGTCATTGGCAAGACTAGCATTTGTCGCTTGTCCTTAACTGCCCTTGAGCTGAGTGGACACCCTCCAATGCCAGCACACCCTTCCTTAGATACAAGGCCCAAAATTGCTCACAATATTCCAAATACTTTACTCCCAAGAGCCTTATTCCCTAATGCAGATAGCTCCCAGCCTTATATAGTCAAGAAAGATACAGGTATGGCAGATTATTCACTCACTCAGAAGCCACATGTGAATATGCAGACAGGATAAAATCCTCGTGGCATTTACAAAAGAAAATCAGGATTTAAATTAATTTTCCCACACTTTAGTCATAAACTACCGGATATTGATTCTTTTTGGAATAAAAGACTGTTTGATTGACAGTCAAGCATCATCCAATCAGTTGAAGAGTTTGCTGACCTTCCAATTGGCTGAGGGGTCGGCAGGGTGAGTGGGCTCCATGACGATGAATTGATCATTGAGTCACACAGCACGGAAGCAGACCTTTTCATGGTCTGGAATCAGTCCATGCTGACCATGTTCCCAAACTAAACTAGTCCCATTTGCTTGCGTTTGGCCCAAATCCCTCCAAACCTTTCCTATTCATGTACTTATCCAAACCACTTTTACATGTTGTAACTGTGCTCACATCCACCTCTTTCTCTAGCAGTTCATTCCACACACAAAACACTCTCTGTGATCAGCTGACTGATGTCAGGGGACTTTGTGGGGAAAAGGGCAGTTGGAGATGCAATGGCATCTCCATGAATAAATTCAACTAGAATTGGGCACCAGAAGGTTCGATGGAAACTAGAGATATTCTGAACAGATCTTTGCCAAGACAGAGCTCTTACCATTTGGCTGCGATTGTATAATGGCCGTCTTTCTCCATGAAACTAGCACAGTTGGTGTAAAGCTCCTTCAACAATGGATCATCAGGCTGTAAACGGGCTTTGGCGATGGCAATGGCTTCTCTATGAAACAAAAGCAACATAACAAAAACAACTTGTGTTAATACAGCACTTTTAATGAAGTAAAGCATTCCACAGCATTGGTTAGCGCAAGGAACAGTCAATAATCCAGCTTCAAAATCGAGCAAAGGTGACCATGAAACTATCATAGGAGCCCACCCTGGTTCACTAAGTCTGAAAATCTGCCAGCCTTACCTTTTGATTTGATTTGTTATTATTACACGTACTAGGGACAGTGAAAGGTTTTGTTTTGCATGCAGTACAGGCAGACCATACCGTACAAAGTGCCTTAGGTTTATAGAACAGAGCGAGGAATACAATATTATGGCTGCAGAAAAGGTGCACAAAGAACGAGATCAACATTCAATTTAAAATTTGACAGATGTGTTCAGAAGTCTAATAACAGCAGGGAAGAAGCTGTTTTTTGAATCTATTTGTACGCATATACAAACTTTGTGGAAGAGGGTATCACTGGGGTAGGAGAGGTCTTTGATTATGTTGGTTGCTTTCCCAAGGCAGCTGGAAATATAGATGGAGTCAATGGATGGAAGGATGGGCTGTGTTCAAGACTCTCTGTAATTTCTTGTGGTCTTGTGCAGAACAGTTGCCGTACCAAGCTGTGATGCATCCAGATAGAATGCTTTCTATGGTGCATCTATAAAAACTTGGTAAGAGTCCTTGTGGACCTGCCGAATTTCCTTAGCCTCCTGAGGAAGTAGACCTGGTCTAGCCTACACGTGACTCCAGACCCACAGCATTGCATAAGAATCCTAACAGTCGTGTAAAATGGCAGGACAAGCCATTCCATTCAAGGGCAATTAGGGACAGGCAACAAATACTTGACCTTGAGAGTAAAATGTCCACATCCCACGCAAGAATAAAGAAAATGATGACAGATGATATTTAGCGCAGGGAAGTGATTGATTTAGAACAAAGAATGAAAGCAAGGTAATAAAAAAAATGCTTAGAAGATCCTTTCTAAAATAAAATGCGAGTACATGGAAAGAGAGAACTGGGAACATACATGATTACCTGGAGGCAAGATGGGATTACAAGGCAGTTTGGAAATCTATTTAGGATCCATGCCTTTATAAAGAGATACAAATGACAAAAGAAATTTACACCAAACCTTTATAAAAACGCTGGCTGACTCTCCTCAGGCATATTGTGCGTTGTGCGGAGTGTTACATTTCAGGAAGAACCTTGGGGAAGGTATGGAGGAGATGGACTAGAATGCAATCAGGCAGGATGTGCTTTAGGCACGTGGGGAGACTGGGGAAGCAGAGATTGCTCTCCATGGAGCAGAGAAAATGTTTGGTTCAAGCTGTTCATAATCGGGAGCAGTCTGTTTCAATTCAACATGTATAGAGGAGTTTCCTCTGGTCAGAAATAGCCTGAGGAGACAGAGTTATAACAACTGGCAAATAAAACGAGAGATGAAGGAAGATACAGCTGTTTGAGATGGTCTAGGACATGGCGCATGAAAGGGCAGTGGAAGCAGACCCAAATGGGAATTAAGTAAGTGTCTAAAGGGATACCATTTACCCAACTATTGGGAACATGCAGGAGATTTGGGAAGGGAGGAGCAATAGAGGCTCAATGGGCTGAATACTCACAGAGGAAACACTGATTTTATGAAGAATGATGCTGCAATACTGTGAGTGTCTGCTGTTTGAGTCACAGGCATTGTCATTTTGAACCCAAACACCAAGAGCTCCTGACCCCCACACTCCATTGTTTAACCCCTGTCCCAACATAGACCGTGCGCTCCCCCTCCTACCGAAACAGCTGGTGAGACTGGAGGAGTTTCACTGCCTCATAGACTTTGTGAATGTACAGCAGGTAAGTGGCAGCCTTCACATACTGTTCCTGGAAACACAGCTGTTTGGAAAAGGCTTCAACTGTTCGCATCCAAACCGTGTATCCAGCTGCAAGGACAAGGGCCATTGTTTAATACAGATGAGTTTACATAGTCAGCATTGCTGTGAAGCTTCCTTGATACTGCCCCCATCAAACAATCCCAGCACAGAGTTAGATACAGACTGAAGCTCCCTCTACTCTTTTAAACTGTAAGTAAAGCCTCTTCTACACTTTTTGAAATGAACAGTATCCCTCAAATACTGTCACCAAACACTTCCAGGGCAGGTATAGCATGTGGTTAGATACAGAGTAAAGATTCCTTTACACTTTGAAACTGAAAGTGAACCTCCTTCTATTCTTTTTAACTGAAATTAAAGCTCTGTCTACTCTTTTAAACTGAACTTTCAACTCTGTCTACACTGTTTCCAAATTGTAAGCTTAGTCAAGAGGCAAAAGCAAGCATATGACAGAACATAGAACATAGAGGTCTAGGCAGCTACAAACTGACAAAGCCCTTGAGGAATACAGAGAAATTAGGAAGGAACTTAAACGCGGAATTAGGAAGGCTAAAAGGGGCCATGCAATTCCTTTAGCAAACTGGGTCCAGGAGAATCCCAAGGCAAATATGCACTTATTAGAAGAAAGACAGTAGGAAGGGACAGTAGGCCCCCTCAATGACAAAGGAGGGAAGTTATGCGTGGAGCCACAGGAAGTGGGAAAGATCCTTAATAAGTACTTTGTATCGGTATTCACTGAGGAGAAGGACATGATTGACATTGAGGTCAGGGAAGAGTGTGTGAATACTGTAGAGAATGTCAATATATTGAAGGAGGTAGCTTTGGGTATCCTAAACTGCATTAAGGTAGACAAGTCCCCAGGGCCAGATGGGATCTATCCCAGGTTACTGCGAGAGGCAACAGAAAAAATAGCTAGGGAATGAGCAGATATCTTCACATTCTCTTTGACCACAGGCAAGGTTCCAGAGGACTAGAGATTAGCCAATGTTGTTCCCTCGTTTAAGGAAAAAAGCAGGGATAATCCAAGAAATTATAGTCAGGTGAGCCTGACATCTGTGGTGGGGGAGCTCTTGGAGAAGATACTAAGGAACGGGATCTATGCACATTTGGAAGAAAATGGATTTGTTAGTGACAGGCAGCATGGTTTTGTATGGGGAAGGTCGTATCTCACCAGCCTGATTGAATTTTTTTGAAGAGGTGACAAAAGTAATTGATGAGGGAAGGGCTGTGGGTGTAGTTTATATGGACTTTAGTAAGGCATTTGATAAACTAAAGTCAGATGGGATTCGGGGTGGGCGGGCTAGATGGATACAAAACTGGCTTGGTCATAGAAGACAGAGGGTAGCGGTGGAAGGTGGTTTTTCAGAATAGAGATTGGTAACTAGTGGTGTCCCACAGGGATCAGCCTTAGGTCCTCTGTTGTTTGTAGTATATATAAATGATCTGGAGGAAAACGTGGGTGGTCTGATTACTAAGTTTGCAGATGACACAAAGATTCATGGAGTTGCTGATTGTGAAAGGATACAACAGGATATAGACAGATTGGCAACTTGGGCACAGAAATGGCAGATGGAGTTTAATCCAGACAAATGTGAGGTGATGCATTTTGGAGGATCAAATTTAGGTGTGATTCATACTGTAAATGAGAGAACCCTTAGGAACATTAACATACAGATGGATCTGGGTGTGCAGGTCCACAGTTCCTTAAAAGTGGCGACACAAATGGCCATAGTGATTAAGAAGGCATATAACATGCTTGTCTTCATTGGCTGGGGCATGGAGTATAAGAGTTGGCAAAACATGCTGCAGCTATTTAAGTCCTCGTTAGGCTGCATTTGGAGTATTGTGTGCAGTTTTGGTCGCCACATTACCAGAAGGACATGGAAACTTTGGACAGAGTGCAGAGAAAGTTTACCAGGATGTTGCCTGGTCTCGAAAGCATTGGCTATGAGGAAAGGTTAAAAAGACTAGGATTGTTTTCACGGGAAAGACAACAGCTGAGAGGAGACCTGATAGAGGTCTACACAATTATAAGAGGCAGAGATAGGATGGACAGTCAGAGGCTTTTTCCCAGGGTTGATATTTCAATTACAAGGGGGCACAGGTTCAAGGTGAGAGGGGGAAAGTTTAAGGGGGATGTGAGATGGAAGTTTTTTTTCCCCACACAGAGAGTGGTAGGAGCCTTGAATGCACTGCCAGAGGAGGTGGTGGAAGCAGGCACGTTGGTGACATTTAAAAGGTATCTGTACGGTTACATGAATAGGGAGGGAATAGAGGGGTACGGACCGACTAAAGGCAAAACGTTTGTTTTTTAGATTAGTTGGGGCATGATGACCAGCACAGCTTGGAGGGCCGAAAGGCCTGTTCCTGTGCCGTACTTTTCTTTGTTAAAATACTCCCAGGGCAGTTACAGCATGGGTGATGAACTTGTTACAAAATTGCTAAAAAAAAAAGATAGGAAGTACATTGATATTTCATAGAATCATAGAGCTATACGGCACAAAAACAGACCCTTCAGTCCAACTCAGCCACGATAACCAGATATCCTAAATTAATCTGGTCCCATTTGCCAGCATTTGGCCCGTAGCCCTCCAAACCCTTCCTATTCATATATTCATCCAGATGTCTTTTGAATGTTGTAATTGTGCCAGCCTCCATCACTTCATTCCATCCACCCACCACCCTCTTCATGAAAAAGTTGCCCCTTAGGTCCCTTTTAAATCTTTCCCCTCCTCACCTTAAACCTATGCCCTCTACTTTTGGGCTCCCCTACTCTGGGGAAAAGAATTTGACTATTCACCCCTCAGCTTCTGACATTCCAGAGAAAATAGCCCCAACCTATTCAGCCTCTCCCTACAGCTCAAACGCTCCAACCCTAGCAACATCTTTGTAAATCTTTTCTGAATCCTTTCAAGTTTCACAACATCTTTCCCCTAGCAAGGAGACCAGAATTGAACACATTATTCCGAAAGTGGTCTAACTAATGTCCTGTACAGCCACAACTTTACGTCTCAATTCCTATACTAGCGTACCAGACACCTTCGTCACAATCTTATCTATCTGCGAATCCACTTCCAAGGAACTATGAACCTACCCTCCAAGGTCCCTTTGTTCAGCAACACTGCCCAGGACCTTACCATCAAGTGTATAAGTCCTGCCTGATTTGCCTTTCCAAAATGCAGCACCGCGTGTAACGGTGTTACAAGCAGCAAAGAGGGAGATAGTCTTTTTTTTGTAGAATCCCTACAGTGTGGAAACAAGCCCTTCTGCCCACAAGTCCACACCAACCCTCAGAGCATCCCACCCAGACCCATCCCCTTATAACCCACGTAATCTACACATCCTGAACACTATGGGCAATTTAGCATGGCCAATCCACCCTACCCTGCACATCTTTGGACTGTAGGAGGAAACCGGAGCACCCGGAGGAAACCCACGCAGACACAGGGAGAATGTGCAAACTCCACACAGACAGTTGCCCGAGGGTGGAATCAAACCTGGGTCCCTGGCGCTGTGAGGCAGCAGTGCTAACCACTGAGCCACCGTGCAGCCCTTAAGAGTCAATAATCAAAAAGCATGCAGCATAAAAATAAATGCACAATCATCTGGGGAGGTCAGATGTCAGGTGGCAATGAAGATGTCAATTCATGAAACATTAATCTGTTGTCTGTATTTTGTAACAATATTGTAGAACCTATTAAAATTACATAACTGGCTATGGGGTGTAATTCTTGTTTTATTTAAAGCTAACTATACAGCAAATAAAATCAAGCAGATTTTAAAAATGCCATCTTTATCAAAATGTAAGATAACAAGGTGCAGAGCTGGATGAACACAGCAGGCCAAGCAGCATCAGAGGAGCAGAGAGGCTGACGTTTCGGGCCTAGACCCTTCTTCAGAAAAGGGGGAGGGGAAGGGGGTTCTGAAATAAATAGGGAGAGAGTGGGAGGCGGATAGAAGACGGATAGAGGAGAGGATAGGTGGAGAGGAGACAGACAGGTCAAAGAGGCGGGGGTGGAGCCAGTAAAGGTGAGTGTAGGTGGGGAGGTAGGGAGGGGATAGGTCAGTCCAGGGAGGACGGACAGGCCAAGGGGGTGGGATGACGTGTAACTTTGTTAACAAGTCATTAGAGGAAAATATAATATTGTCTGCTTCAAGAAATTTTAATCTCTTCACATCATGCCCATTGAAAAATATTTCACAAGATTCTATTATATTTACTTTATTCACAAGCGACATCAAGTGTTCAATATATCCTTATTAGGGGCAGCATCACCACACTATGTAAATACCTTGATTGGTACTTCATTTTCATGCATTTCTGTTCAGCAATTTCAAATTATTTTCAATGCCGCTACAAATTTTGCACAGCAGCTGTTGTAAATAATTCCGCCATTAACAGCTCCTTTATACCCATCTTTTGTTTCTTTACTTATCACATAGCATGATCTCTACCCTGCACTATCACCCACATGTCAGTTAATCTCCTTGTCTTTGTCCTTTTGATCTTCCTGCATTGTTCTCTTCCCCCCCCCCGACCCCTCACTCCCTTTCCTGTCTCTCTATTTCCTTTAAACACATTACAGCTCTTTTTCCAGTTCTAAAAAGTGGACTTTGCTTTTCTCTTCACAAATGTACCTGGACTAACCAAACTCCCATCATCAGGAAAATCCTTCCTACGTCTACCCTGTCTAGCCTGGAAGAATTTTACAAATTTCTATGAGATCCTCCTTGGCGAATATAATCCTAACTGATCCAGCCTCTTCGTATGTCACTCCCAGGAATCAGTCTGGTAAACCTTCACTGCACTTCCTCTGTAACAGGGACATCCTTCCTCAGATAAGGAGACCAAAACTGCACACATTTTTCCAGATGTGGTCTCACCAAAGCCCTGTATAATTACATCAAATGCTGAAGGGAACGTATGTCAAAGATAACAGTCTCAAAAAGGCCCCTTACAGAAAAATGGACAAGAAAATACAACATACCCATGGGCGCCATAGCAACTAAAGCGTCGTTCAGCTCTCCCCTCTCAGTGGCCATCTCCAAAGCTCCTCTAACATCGCCTTTCCACAACATCAGCTGGTAACAGATCTCGGAGTGCCCAGCTTCTAGATGATTCTGCCCTGTTAATCAACATGAAGCAAACACTAGCATTTTAAACAACATCTGCGGAGAAAATAGTTTAAAAAAAATCTTTACAATATAATCTCTTGTTCACTCCTTCCCCAGGGTCAGAGAAGGGATTGCACTGTAAAAGCTTTGGCTGCAAAACAGAGATGCTGCTGAGCCAAGAGGGAAAGTTTTTGGGAGGGAGGGACCAGGCTCCGTCCTCCACCTTCCCAACAGAGGGAAAGGTGCCACCCACCCACCCACCTGCCAATGGTGCCACCTATCCTCACAACCCTGCCTGAGTAGACCCAGCTACGGGGCCAAATCAAAGTGTTCTCACACTCCAGCTGCAGTTCCAGTAAACGGCCATTGCTACTCACGGCACTAGTGAGCAGCCAGAGCTCAGAGTTAGCCAATGGTTTCCAAGGATAAAGGGATGGGGAGAAGAGGGAAGGGCAGGCAGAGACAAATAGTAATATACATGGACTGTCACAATTCACCACCACCACCTTCTCCAAGGCAACGGGGAATGGGGAATCAATGCCCACATCCCATGAACAAATGCACTTGGAGTAGCTGAGCTTCCTTTGTCAGCCCTTTCCCTACGAATCCCACACAAAAGGTGATCCCATTCTCCCTGAAATGTTGAGTGACCAGCCTTACAATTTCCTGCATCAGCTTCTTATCAATCAGGACAGATTGGTTTGTAGCTGTGCAGGAGGCCTGCTGGAGGCATCGCAGACATACCTTCCTCCTCAAACATCCTGTATACAGCTGCCCTGTCCACAAAGAGACCCAGCTGGATTTCATCTCCCGATCCTGGCCGACTCTGGCTCTCAGACTCTACATCAACAAAAAAAAACACCATTATTAACGAGGCCACCTTCCGGCAGCAGCACTGACCGCTGTGGGCTGATGAACCATTTGGTTCACTAATGCCCTTCAGGGAAGGAAATCTGCCAGTAGACACAAGAGTGGAAGTAGGCCATTCAGCCCATCGATTTTGCTCTCTTATTCAATAAGATCACAGTTGATCAATCATCCTCAACTCCACTGTCCTGTCTTTTTCCCATAACCCCAGATTCCCTTACTGTTTAAAAAAAAATCTATCTCAGCCTTGAATATACCGAATGAACCAACTTTGACACCCCTCTGATGGAAAGAATTTCACACATTCACTACCCTCAGAAGAAATGCTGGGTGAGACAGCGACACCCACATCCCATCGATAAATGTAAAAAATAGCCAAGGAGTGGTGTCCTGGCACTGCCACTGGCCTAGCAATTCAGAGGCCCAGGGTAATGCCTTGAGGCCATGGGTTCAAATCCCAGCACAGCAATTCGGAAGTTGAATTCAATTGATAAATCTGTAATGGTTCATTTCTGAGAAATACAAGGGGTGGCACAAATGGTACAGTGATTAGCACTGCTGCCTCACAGCACCAGGGATCCAGGCTTGATTTCAGCCTCAAGGACTGTGCAAACTCCACACTGACATTCTCCCCATGTCCGCAAGGGTTTCCTCCGGGTTCTGCGGTTTCCTCCCACAGTGCAGGCTAGTGAGTCGGCTGTGGGAAATGCAGGGTTACAGGGATAGGACGCGAGGATGGATCTGGGTGGGATGCTCTTTGGAAGGTTGACGTAGACTGGATGAGCGAAATGCCCTCTGTCTGTACTCTACAGATTCTGCGATGTGACTCAGGACCCACACAATTACGGCTGACTGTAAACTGACCCCTGATACAGTTTAGCAACCCATTCAGTTCTAGGACAATCAGGGACTGTTACCCCACCCCAGAGATGCCCACACACCAGCAGAGAACCAAGAGGAAGACAGGTACTTCTGCTATAACGTGTGTTTTGTTAACATTAATTGACTGTAACGCGATTGATGAATAGTAGATAAAAACAGAAAGAACTGCGGATGCTGTAAATCGGGAACAAAAACAAAGTTGCTAGAAAAGCTCAGCAGGTCTGGCAGCATCTGTAAAAACAAGAGTTAACATTTCAGGTCCAGTGACCCTTCCTCAGAACTGGGTCATTGGACCCGAAATGTCAATTCTTTTTTCCTTTCACAGATGCTGCCAGGCCAGCTGAGCTTTTCCAGCCACTTTTGATTTAGTTCCTGATGAATAGTGGACACTGTTTGGATAATGTGAACTTTCTACTGTACAGTATAGTGATTGCCTGTAGCAATTTCCCTTTAATGCATTTTCTGTAGCACACAAGATGACAACTACCGTGCTATAGGAGAACTACCCGTAAGCTAGAGTGTAAAAGTTGCACAGACTTTCGCAGACACTTGCTGTGCACAACTCACCTTTCGAGTAGAGGATGTTAGCAAGGTTCACGCAGTCCGAGAGGAGCTGCTCCTTTGATTGGTGATCATTGATCGTACTGAGCGGGAGAACGGATCGCCCCTTCTTCTTCTTCACAGTCACCTCTACAACACAAACACCAACCTCAAACGCACGTATGATCAGCAGTCCTGGTCTGTCTCCCCATCAGCGGTGCCACATAAACGCGATTCAGTTTCTGTTTGTCAAGACTGACCATCTCCGGCCCTGCCTCAGCTCATCCGCTGCAGAAACCCTCACCTGTGCCTTTACTGCCCCAAGCCCAGGCTATTCCAGCACTCTCCCATTTCCCGACCTCGGCCAGCTCAAATGAAAACAAAACAAAGCAACAGGTTCCAAGGAGGTGTTGCAGTGTCTTGACTGTCATGGATCAAAAAGCCAGGGCTAGGTTGCTGCAGAGTGTGTGAAACATCTGCTGCATTCAAAGGTAGTTGCAGTGGGGGTGGTGGGGTGCTAATGGACCCTAACAGCAGCCTTTAAAATTTATGACACTTTTTTTTCCCCAAAAAGGCTGACATCAAGAAGCTGCTTAACCAGAATTCAGGAGAAAAGTCTTGGAGAGGGTGGGAAACAGGGCGGGGAGGCGGGGAATGGGGGTGGGAAAGAAGGGGAAAGAGGGGTAGGGAGGGAAAAGTAGGGGAGATTAGGGGAGATGAGGGAAGTGGGGGAGGGTGTAAGGGGAGTGGGAATGAGGAACTCGCTACCACAGGAATGGTTGAGGTGAACAGTACAAGTAAACATCTGACAGAGAAAGGAATAGTCAGTTGTGTCGATGGGAGGTAGATAGGCAGAGCATGGAATAGCGAGGCCGAATGGCCTGGTTTCCTGCTGTAACTAAGTTACTGTGCTTTTCTAAAAAAGAAAATCAGTAATCTGCTCTTTTGAGGGTTGATCATCTCTTTTCAGCACCACTAAGGATGTGAGTGGTGCTATGTAGATTCAAGTACTTTATTTTTGCCATACAAGGCTGAAAGATCGTGGACTCTGAAACATCCAGCTTGTTCCTTTTGACTGAGTGGCACGTGTTTCAAATTGGATGGAATTGACGTCACACCGGTGCAGAGAAGGGGTGAAACGTGATGGAGACTGGGGCTGGGGTAAAAGGAGTGTAGGGCAGCTGAGGAAGCACCGCTCTGCACTGGTCCATCGTATCCTGAGCATCCTGCTGTGGGTGAGCAGGCCAGTAACCTTTCACAGTACAATCTGAGTCAAACAAAGCTTTACCTGCTCGCTCCCTCCTCCTCTCGTCTTTCAGCCGGTCTGGCTTCATCTGGGGAGTTCGGCTCACCACGGTGTGTAGGCTGTTGGGAAGAACAGAATCCGTATTCTCCTGTGCTCTGGGCTCGTCCAGTGAAACTGTTAGGAAGAGTTGGGTGGGTGGTGGGGTGGGGTGGAAAAATGAAGAGATGAGAGAGCGAGTGAGCAACAAAGAAAGCACGCGAGTGAGCGCACAAAACAGCAATTATCATCAACTTGTTGGCTTACCACACTATTTCTGAGGACAGTTATGAGTCAAGCACATTACTGTGGATCTGGAGCCATACGTAGGTCCTACCAGGCCTGGCCAGGCAAACATACCAATGATCTACATGTGGTTTTATGACAATCATAAGCTTCACCATTACCGACCACAACAGGAGACATACAAATTTCCCTCAATAAAGCCTGAGGACTGGGAGCAGTTTTGATTCCAGCAATGGAAGACCAAGAGGGCCATTAAGAAGGATGAAAAATAATAGTACGACAGTAAAAATGCAAGAAACATAAAAGTGGATTCAACGTCTTCTTCAGCAAGTAGAAAGAAAAAGATAAGCAGAGACAGATGTAGGCTTCCCAGAGTCTAAAAAAATGGGAGAATTGATAACAGACAACAAGATATGACACAATTAAATAACTGATTATATTAACAAGAACAAGGACAAGGACAAAAACAAGAACAACAAGAAACAAAAAAAAAATTCTCAGGAGTACAGCTCTGAGTGCTAGAGATAGGATTAGGGTTAACTCTTGTGGGAAGGAGGAACCGAAAGGAATTAGTAATAGGAGGAAAAAGTGCTGGAAAAATTAATGGGTGTGAAAGCAGATAAATCCCAGGGTCTGTTAATCTACAACCACGCGTACTAAAAGAAGGTAACCATGGAAATAGCAGATGTGTTGGTTGTTATCTTCCTAAATTCTGTAGATTTTGGTACAGTCCTGGCAGAATGTAACCCCACTGTTAAGAAAAGAGGGAAGAGAAGACCAGGAATTACAAATCTGTCAGCCTAACATCAATAGTAGGAAAAAAATACTGAAGTCCATAAAAGATTTGACAACAGGACAGTTTGAAAATATCAACAGGATTAAACAAAGTCAACATGAGTTGATGAGAGAGAAATGGTGTTTGACAAAGCAACTGGAGTTTTTGTTTTGAGGACATAAAAGGTATAATGGATAAGGGGAAACCGGTGGAGGCAGTGTATTTGGATCTTTAATAAGAATCATAGAAACCCTACAGTGTGGAAACAGGCCTTTCAGTCCAACAAGGCCACACTGACCCTCAGAGCATCCCACCCAGACCCATACCCCGATAACCCACCTAATCTACACAGCCCTGGATACTGTGTGCAATTTAGCATGGCCAATCCACCCTAACCTGCACATCTTTGGACTGTGGGAGGAAACCGGAGCACCCAGAGAAAACCCACGCAGACACGGGGAGAATGTGCAAACTCCACACAGACAGTCGCCCGAAGCTGGAATCGAACCTGGGTCCCTGGCGCTGTGAGGCAGCAGTGCTAACCACTGAGCAACCATGCCACCAACGATAAGAGGTTATTGATCCAAATCAAAGCACACAGGATTGGGGGTAATGAACCGGCACAGACGGAGAATGTGTTAGCAGGCAGGAATAAACGGGTCATGTTTATACTGGAACGCAGTGACAAGTGGGATACCATAGGGATCAGCGCTAGGGTTCAAGTTATTCACAATATATAATCAATAATTTGGATGAGGGAATTAAGAGTAATATTTCCAAGTTCACAGCAGACACAAAACTCGGTGGGAGTGAATGTAATGAGGAAGATGTAAAGAGAATTCAAGGCAATTTAAACAAGTTCTGCCGTGATCATGTTGATGGTCAGAGTGGGCCGAAAGGCCTACACCCGCTCCCATTTTCTACGTTTCTATCAGACTGGCTTTCAACCAGATTTGATCAAGTGAATTTAAATTCCATGGTGAGATCTGAACCTGTGTTCCCACAGCATCAGGCTGCCCCTCTCCAGTGATATGACCACCATACCAACACTGTACACCAAATGCCATCGGTAGGTTTGGGCGGGGGGCCTGAGATGTGATGTGAAATCAGAGCCTCTAAGCTCCCCTCAACCATAGCTGACACAGTGACCAGGCGAGAAGCGCAGGGACAGCTGCCTACCCGCAATTCGAGGGGTTCCATTGGACAGCTTTGCCATCTCGGTTTCGTCCCGACAGTCTTCCTCCTCCTCCTCGGCCCGGTCAGCACTGCCATTTCTGCTGCCCACCACATTCTGGGTCGTGTTCTCCTGGCTCTCTTCTCCTTCCTGCCCAACGCTCCCTTTCTCGGTTCGCTTCCTGGCCTTTTTGGATTTGGTTTTCGAGCAGTTGGGTCTTTTCTTCTCCAACTCGATGGACTTCTTTCCTGGTTTTTTTTTGTTTAACAAAGAGAACATTTAAAACATTCTTCGGTGCTGACCCTCTGGAGCAAAAGCCTAAAAAAATCAGCCAAAATGGGAACACAGCAGCCAGGTTTGTCACATCGAAAATCTTAGAGCAATGCACAGGAAGAGCAGGAGGCAATTCAACCCTTCAGAGACATCCTACTGTTCAATGAAGTTATGGTTGAGGTGTATCTAAACTCCATTTCTCAGTTTTGCTATGAGGGATCCGGTATCATGAACCAATGCAAAAGAAAGACTGATCTCAGTCCTTAAAGTTCCAATCATCCCTCCACTGATGTTTCAGAGTTGGGGGGAGCACAGAGAGGATATCGGGAGAAAATACTTCCAGGTTTTCACTAATCCTATTGTGGGAAGGTAGCTCTGGATATCACTGCCTCAGTCTAACTGGGAGATTCTGACACCTCCTGCTGAACTGCCCCAGAGGACATCCCTCTGAATTGTTTGTTTGTTATTCACTCACTTGGGACCTGGGCAACACCAGCTGGACCGGAGTTTATTGCTCATCCCGAATTGCCCCTTGAGAAGGTGGTGATGAGCCGCTTTCTTGAGCCGCTACAGTTCAATGTTGACCCCTAATACTCTTACGGAGGGAGTCCCGGGGTTTTGACCCAGCAACAATTTCCAAATTGGCATGGGGACAGGAGTGACCACATTCAACCTTTCTATATTTAACCAAGCTCCTGTCTGACTATGGGCGAAATTTACAGCAGTATTTGGAAGTTTGGCATTTAAGCGGCTATTAGATAGGCATATGGATGATAGTATAAGGTAGGGGTGGAGGTTAGATAGACCTTAGGATTAGGGTAAAAGTTCGGCACAACATCGTGGGCCGAAGGGCCTGTACTGTGCTGTACTGTTCTATGTTCTATATGTTCTATGGATTATTCCCTGTGCCAAAATGTAATCTCTCAAAAAAAAACAGGTCTTGCTGCGAGATCTAGCTGTGCACAAATTGGTCGCCATTCCTCTTACATAACAGTGACAACATCTCAGAGTTCTCAGGGGTGTCCAGGGACTGGGACGTCTTACAGGAAAGCAATATGCACAACAGCGAAGGCTGGAACAAAAAGGCACAAAGATCACAGAACAGGGCATTATATAAGACACAGCAGCCAGTACCTCTGGGTGGTTGGGTGTGCTGTTGCTTTGAAACCTCCCATTGCCGTGCAGTGAAGTCATCACCTCCCGTCCATACACAGTCAGGATCGACGGGAGACCACTGGACCCCCAGCAATCTCCCAATGTGTCCCCGATAGTTGCTCAGTGGCTCCTCCTTCAGGACGTCCCAGACCTGCAACAAAGGATGCATCCTACATCTTTCCAAAAAGGCGGAACTTGTAAGAGAGAAGAAAGCATGCTCCCTCCCCCTAAACTGGACGGCCTTCCGACTGGGCCTGCTTCTCCCACAATCCACAAATACTCCTCACTGTATTTACAATGCAGACCACATTGATCCAGCTCTGGGCTGGAAAGGTGAGAAAAGGTTTTGAGTGCAGAAAAGATTTATGGAATCAGTTGCATGAACGAGGAATTGGAGTTCACAGAATCCCTGCAGTGTGGAAGCAGGCCATTCGGCCCACTGAGTCCATACCAACGCTCTGAGGAGCATCCCACACAGACACACCTCCCTACCTTACCCCTGTAACCCCACATATCCCATGGCTAATCCACCTAGCCTGCACCTCCCTGGACACTACAGTGCAATTTAGCATGGCCAATCCAGCCTAAGCTGCACATCTTTGGACTGTGGAAGGAAACCGGAACAAAACCATGCAGGCACAGGGAGAATGTGCAAACCCAAGGGTGAAATCGAACCTTGGTCCCTAACACTGAGTCACCCTGTGCTGCAGTTTTGTGGACCAATCGGAGGAAGTGGGGCTGTTTGATTGAAGCATTCAGCTCCCCTTGGAGGAAGAGTCAAAAACCAGAGGTTGGAGGATTTCGGTGTCTGGCAAAAGAATCACATGCCACAATGAGAAAATGCACTGTGCTACAGGTGTCACATCTCACTGAGGTAACAGGCTAGAAATCGAGGCCCGCTATTTCTGGAGTCATCACCAAAGTTAAAGATTTTATAATAAATGCTCAATGTTCCCCAAAATTCCAGAGCTTAGGTTGATGGACCAGGTTTCTGTACTGAACAAGAATCACTATTTATTAAGGACAGGCACTAGCTACAGGTTATAACACATTGCAAATGAAAACTAATTCCCTAAAATCCCCCACACAGATAGACATAGAAAGGTTGTGGGGGGGGGGGGGGGAATAAATAGAGAGGAAACTGGAAAAACAGTTCAGTCCCCTTTGTTCACAAGATCTGTGGAGTTAGTTCTTGCTGATCAGAAAGTTACTTCTGATCTTCCTTTTTCCAAATGCTTGTTTACAAGAGGCACAGGGTGGCTGGTTTACTTAAATTTAATCTGTAACAGTTTATATATTTTCCTTTTCCAGGAATTGCTGTAAAGTGGGGCCTGTTTCAGAGTGCACTACCTCGTTGGTATGCAACACACATGGACTTTTGTCTAGACGAGAATGTAGCAAATCTCCGAGGCCATGTCAACAGCACCTTCCTGCACCCCTTACCCCCGATATATAAAGGGGAAGAATAGTAAAAGCATTGCAATGCTCAACCCTGCCAAATTTCAACCCTCAGGACCAGGGAAGTTCATTAGCCATTGATGAGTCACTGCCTTTGAGCACCCAACTAGCAGCTATGATGCTGGGTCACACATTAGATGTAGATTAATTTTTGTTAAGTAAAATATCATGAGATATGGGCCAAAGAGGGGCATATGAAGTTAGGCCACAGTTCTGCCACGATCTCATCGAATGCCGGAACTGGCTCAAGCAGCTGAATGGCCCGCTCCTATGCTTCTATAACTCAACACCCATAAGAGCAGCATCACAAAGAATAACAAAGCCACGGAGGCAACCATTTAGCCCATCGTCCCTATGTCAGATCTCCAGAAGTACTCTCTCTGCAAGGACTAGAAAACAATAGATCATGTTGCAGTTACATTGAACCCTGGTGAGGCCACACTTGGTGCATTGACAACATTTCCGGGAACCACCACTGGGGAAGGTTATATGGGCATTGCAGGGCGTGCAGTGTACATTCACCAGAATAAGCCTAGACACCAAAAGTTAAATTATAAGGAAAGGTTAAACAAAGGATTGCATTCCCTACAATTTAGAAGGTTAAACAGTGGCTTGATTGAATCTTTCAAGATATTATGCGTCATTAATAGCTAGATAGAGAGATGTTATTCCTGCCAGTTGGAGAGTAGGGAGAAATGGTAAAGTCCGACTCTAACTTCTTAAGAGGCTAAATCAGGAAACAATGCCTGTACAGAAAGGTTGGTAGAGGTTTGGAGCTATCTGTAGCAAACAGCAATCGATGCTGGTTGAATTGTTAATTTTAAAACCAATATTGATAGATTTTTTGTTAACCAAGGCTATGAACAGTCATCTCATTCTCATGTTGCAATGTTTCTAACCCATTCTGTTCTTCCCCCCACCATAGCCCTTCCAAGGATGATCTCATTCCCTTTTGAAGGGTAATTATGAATCTGCTTACACCATCTTTTGAGGTAATTCTAGATCAGAACTCACTGCACAAAGATTATTCCCATCTCTCTCTAGTCAACCACCACAAATTTCTCGCTTTCTGGGAACGGACTCTTCAACCAATATAAAACAATTTCTTTCCTCAGAACTGAGGAAGGGTCACCGGACCCGAAACATTAACTCTGCTTCCAGACCTGCTGAGCTTTTCCAGCAATTTTGTTTTTGTTCCTGATTTATAGCGTCCGCAGTTCTTTCGGTTTTTAAAACAATTTTTTATTTCCTTGTTCAAAACTTGGCAGATCTTGTCATTAAATCTCGTTTTAACCCTCACTACTTTACAGAGAAAACAAACTCAGCTTTGCCAATCTCTCAACATAATGAGGAGATTTCCTCTCCCCTGGATCCACCCTGGCAAATCCCCACAGTACCTTGTCAAAGTTCTTGACATCCTCAAGTAACATTCATGCCACACAAGTGCCAGGCAATGATCATCTCCAGTAAAAAACAACGTAACTATTGTCTCTTGACATTCAATTGCATTACCATTACTGAATCCCCACTATCAACATTCTAGGGTTACCATTGACCACAAACTCAACTGGACTTGTAACTACTGCGTTTATGTGACAACAGCAGGTCGGAGGTTGGGAATCCTGCGGCAAGTAACTCACCTCCTGACTCCTCAAAGCCTGTCCACCATCTACAAGGCACAAGTCAGGAGTGTGATGGAATACTCCCCACTTGCCTGGATGAGTGCAGCCCCAACAACACTCAAGAAGCTTGACACCATCCAAGACAACGCAGCCTGTTTGATGCCATCCACTCCCTCCACCACCGATGCTCAGTAGCAGCAGTGTGTACCATCAACAGGATGCACTGCAGAAATGCACCACAACACTATCATCTACAAGGACAAAGGCAGCAGATACAAGGGAACTTGCTGCCTAGATTGGAAGGCAGGTCTCATGAGGAAAACTGAGAAAGCTAGGGCTTTTTACATTGGAGCGAAGAAGGATGAGAAGTGACTTGATTGAGGTTTACAAGATGATGAGAGGCACAGATAGAGTGGATAGCCAGAGACTTTTTCCCAGGGCGGAAATGACTATTACGAGGGGGCATAATTTTAAGGTGATGGGAGGAAGGTATCGGGGAGATGTCAGAGGTAGGTTCTTCACACAGAGAGTGGTGGGCGTGTGGAATGTGCTGCCAGCAGTGGTAGTGGAGTCAGATACTTTAGGGACATTTAAGTGACTCTTGGATAGGCACATGGATGATAGTAAAATGTAGGGTATGCAGGGCAGATTGACCTTAGTAGGATAATAGGTCGACACAACATTGTGGGCAGAAGGGCCTGTACTGTTCTGTGTTCTATGTAACACCACCTGCAAGTCACTCACCGTCCTGACTTGGAAATATATCGCCGTTCATTCACTGTCGCTGGGTCAAAATCCTGGAATTCCCTCCCAAAGGTACCGTGGGTCAACCTACAGCACACGGACTGCAGTGGTTCAAGAAGGCAGCTCAGCACCACTTTCTTAAGAGGCAACTAGGGACGGGCAAGAAATGCTGAGCCCAGCCAGTAACACCTACGTCCCGTGAGTGAATAGAGTTCAGAGATGTCGTGGTTAACTCCCATTTCTGCAGGTATGGGAGGGATGGGGAGAACACTCGAGATCTCAAAGTCTCACGTTATAATTTAAGACCCTATGGATTCAAACACCCACCTGCGCAGTGCCATCATAGCAGGCAGAGACCAGCATTGCATCGTGGTGTGGGCTCCAGGCCAGGCTCGTGATCTTTGCAGTATGCCCTGGTAACGTCCTGTACGGTTCAGTCACTGTTATCGCAGTGTCCGGAGGGCTCTCTGAGGCAAACAGAAGGGAGATCATCTTTATTTCTATTCCACTTGCCTCGCTGCCTCACAAAGATGCACTGAGGTAAAGGAAGGAGGCACTCACATTCACGGAGAAACTGGTTACACCACACACAGACTGACTGACTGTGGAAGTCACTGACGCAGCAGTTACTAATAAATCACTGCACCATCGTGAGCAGGACAGAGGGAAAGGGAGGGGCAGCACATGTTAACGGCCTGTCACCTCTCACACGATCACACTAACCTGAGTAGCTTGCCGTACACAATGGATTGAGCCCGGTTCAAGCCTCCCATCAGCTCAATGGGATTGCAGGGGGCTGCAGAAAAGGTGAACCGCAAGCGGGCAGAGCCGCGTCGTCCAATCTGGCTGTCTATGCCAGGAGGACTCCTTGCCTATTTCCGCCACAAAACTATTCAGTCCCCCTCAAGCTCGTCCCTTCTGCTATCACAGGTGGTGTCAGCCTGGATCCTGCAGAGTGTCAGGAGCGAACGGGGCTGTGGATAGGGGCAGGGTCTGGCTGAACTGCTCCAAACAGATGGCATATACACTCACAGAGAACAGATGCAGCGCAACCAATTCCCGCAGGGTCCGGTCAGGGGACCGAGCTGGATGATAAACTGCAGCAGGCTCAAAGGGCCGAGTGGCCTACTCCTGCTCCTAGTTTCTATGATGTTTGGTGGGTTGGGCAGGGTATACGGTGCGTGAAGAGGGTGTTAACATGGGAGAGTTAGCGCAGAGGTTACCCAGGACGGTTTTCAAGTTGTGAACGTAGACAATGGCATTGTTGGAGCCAGATGCGATGAGGGAGCTCAGCTCGGGCTGTGCGCCGTGTGGGTGATGCCAGCGGATCGCGTTCACCAGTTTGTGGTGCGTCTGAATTGTGCACAACAGCTTCAAGCGAGGAGCCTGGAAGATCTCAATCGACCTAGAGAGAGCAGGGAGGCAGAGAGAGCGAGAAACATCAAACACAATAGCAATGCAGCATTCACGCAACACGCCCCAACTGTGGGGGGGTCCATCAGATGGAAAATAGGAACAGCAATTACATAAATGATTGAATACGAACGTTTTCCCCACCCTCCCTATTACACGGAAACTTTCATCAAGCTACAGGGACAGAGTTAAGAGGCCATGGGACAAATTAGAATCATAAAAGGTCTACAGCACATAAAAAAAGATTCTTCAGTCCATGAAGTCTGTCCTGGTCAAAAACAACCACCTAACTGCTTGAACCCCCTTTCCCAGCACTCGGTCCATAGCCTTGTGCACCTAAATAATTCCTAAATATTATGAGGGTTTCTGCCTCTCCCACCCTCAGAGTTCCAGATTCCCACCATCCTTTGAATGAAAAAAAATTTTCCTAACATCTCCTCTACATTGCCTGTCCTTTACCTTCAATCTATGACCAGGGGACACTGATTGCTCCAACAAAGGAACAAGTTCCTTCCTGTCTACATGCCTGAATTTTCCCCATCTCAATCATGTCCCCCTCAGTCTTCTCTGCTCCAAGGAAAACAACCCCTACCTGTCCAATCTCTCTCCACAAACTCTCCAGCCTTTGAAAAAGAGCTGGTAGAAGCAAAATGGGCCAAATGGTCTCCTTTCCCACTGAGCGGTTCTGTTGTCCCATAGATGCAGGATTGGGAATTAGGTTCCCCTTGATACTTCTCCCCTAAATACCACCTTCCAAAGCTCAGTAATGAATGGCCAATAAATAGTTCTTTTGAGAGAGAGCTGCTCACCATTCACAACAATCGACAAAAGGGCAACTCTCAACTCGGCGAGAAATTTTTTAAAAAGCTGTAGTCACTCTCGGGATGTTGGCATCACTGGCAAGGCTGGCACTTATTGCTCAGAGCCAACTGAGCAGTTTGCTTGGTCAGCAAACAGCAGCCAAATATCAACTGAAGTCATAAATAAGTCAAGAACAATCACATCACTGTTCCCTTTATTCATTAATAAGATGAGGGTGTCGCTGGCAATAAATGCTGCCTAGACAGTCTCTAATTGCCCACAGTTCAGAGTGAACCACATTGCTGTGGGTCTGGAGTCACATGTAGGCCAGACCAGGTAAGGATGGCAGTTTCCTTCCCTAAAGGACATGATTGAACCAGATGGGTTTTTCCTCGACAATGGATTTGTGATCATCAGAGTCTTAATTCCAGATATTTTATTGGATTCAAATTCCATCATCTGCCGTGGCAGGATTCGAACCCAGGTCCCCAGAATGTTGTCCGGGTCTCTGGACTAACAGTCCAGTGATAAATACCACTAGGCCATTGCCTCCTATTCAGTGAACTAAATGAAGTAGGTACTTGCAGTCACTGAAAACACCATTGCCGGTGTCAGCTAACACACCGAGACTGAATTAAAAACTTTAACCCAAAGGTTACAGTGTGTGCAAACGCTGCAGCCATTTTTTAAAAATCCAAGACAGTGTACACAGGTTAAACGTGAGTTAGAGTACAACTGCATGTGTTTGGGAGCATGTGAGACTGTGAATTACCACGAACATCAGGTGCCCTCATAGTAATAAACATGTTGATTAGTGAATCAGCTGCACACACATAATCCAACATTCTGGTGGTCACAATCAGCTGACACCAGCCTTTTCACTTCATTGATAAACTCTTTTTCAAACTTAATTTTGAACGCTGTTCAAACTTCCAGGTCCATACACATTTGAACAGAATTTTCAAGGTTACACATGGAGTACAATAATATCAACATATTTTCTAATCCATTTGTTCAGAGATGTTATTGTCGGACAGCTGGGATTGGGAACCAGGGGCAATCCCAGGCTCAGGGGTAGGGACACTACCACTGTGCCACAAGAGGACTGTAAGCCCTATCCCTTATCCTTCCCATCCTGCAATTACAGGTGAAATTCCTGGAACTCCCTCCCTAATATGAGGGCGGGTGTACCAATACTCAACCCCCACTCCCCTCACAAGGGCTACAGTGGTTCAAGAAGGTGGATCCCTCTGTACTGCCATCTGTATCTAGGCAACAAGAGCATCACTGATTTGATTTTTAAGTAGTTAATACAGCCATATTGCAAAATGTCATGTGATAAAGTCTCACCCATCGTCGTTCCCAATAGCCAGGATTTTACCATCAGGTTTCCAGTTCAGTTCACTGCGACCTGGAAGTTTATGCTAATGAGGGACAGGGAGAAAATAAAAAGAGAATGTATCAATAAAGTGCATCGACCAATCAATGTACATCGATACTCCCCACTTGTCTGGATGAGTGCAGCCCCAACAACACTGCTTCACACCATCCAGGACAAAGCAGCCCGCTTAATTAGCACCACGTCCACAAGCATCCACTCCCTCCACCACCGACGCTAAGTAGCAGCAGTGTGTACTATCTACAAGACGCACTGCAGAAATTCACCAAAGATCCTCAGGCAGCACCATCCAAACCCACGACCACTTCCATCTAGAAGGACAAGGGCAGCAGATATATGGGAACACCGCCTGCAAGTTCCCCTCCAAGTCACTCACCATCCTGACTTGGAAATATATCACCGTTCCTTCACGGTTGCTGGGTCAAAATCCTGGAATTCCCTCCCTAAGTGCATTGTGGGTCAATCTACAGCACAGGGACTGCAGCAGTTCAAGAAGGCAGCTCACCCCCACCTTCTTAATTGCAACAAGGCAGTGGCAATAAATACACATAAATAAAATTGAATTAAAAATTCACAGCAGGCCCTTTCCCCTTTCAGAAATGTCTCAATCATTCCCCTCTCTGCCTCCCATCATTCAGCTCACAGATCAGATGTATCCAACAACCTTATTTACATGAGAAAGATTTAGGAACATTTGGCAAATTTAGCCACTTGAGTCTGCTCTGCCATTCAAGAAATTTGTGACCAATCTGCTTTGAATTCACATCCCCAGCTAACCTCAGACTCCCTTGTCCTCTTCTGCGACAGAGAATTCCAAAGTCACAAAATCCTCAAAAAAAAATTCACACCTCTGTCCAGAAAGGGGACTCCTCAGTTAAAAACAGAGCCCAGTGGTTCTGGGCTCACCAACAAGAGGAAGTTTCATTTCCACACATTCACCTTGTCAAAATAATTCAGAATATTATATACTTTGACCAAATCACTTCTCACTTTTCTAAGCTCCTATGAAAACAAACACAATGTTTTGATAGCATCTTCCAATCCCTCAAATAAGCCAGAATCTCCTCAGAAATGCCTCCATTGTATTTATATCCTTCCTTCAATAAGGTGATTGAAACTACACACAGTAGTCAAAAGAATCTGCTCTTTTTTCTGGTGGAATTACTGAGCCTGTAAGGTCAGTGGGACTGAGTGGGTAAAGCACTCTTATCACAGCCATTCCTCATTGCCCTGAGGAATGGGCCAGGCTGAAAGAAAAACATAAACACGTTGCATCTGTATCAATTTAATAAAATGGGCAGTAGTCATTCACTGGTTAATTCCTCAGGGCAACACCTTGATCACTCCATGTCAACTTGTCATGCTTAGCAGTTAACTGTCAGTCAGTCATAATCTAACTAGTACACTCTGCACAGTAACACTGCCACCTTACAGTATTCACTTGCCAGCCAATCAGCACTCTCTTCTCAAAGTACAAAAAAATTGCTCCCCTTTATATTGGTATTCTTGAGAATGGTCCTGATGACCGAAAAGAAATCTGGTCATTAAGACATTGTTATTGGGTGGGGGAGGGGGGGGTGGGGGGAACTTGCTGCACACACGCACGTCTGCTGCATGGGTTTCCTCCAGCTGCTCCAGCTTCCTCCCACAGTCCAAAGATGTGCAGGTTTGGGTGGGTTGGCCATGCTAAATTGCCCCGTAGTGCCCAGGGATGTGTAGGCTACTAGGTGGATCGGCCATGGGAAACACAGGGATAGAGTTGGGGAAGGCATCTGGATGGCATATTCTTTGGAGGGTAGGTGTGGACTCGATGGGCCAAATGACCTGCTTCCACATTGTAGGGATTCTATGATTCCATTATTTGAGGACATTTGCACTTATGACTTTTCATGTGCAAGATGTGATGGAAACACAAGGCTTTATATTTTCTGTAATGCCTTTCTCAAGATTGCAGCCTTGGACAAGATTATTCAATCTGAATGAAAATGCAAAGACTAAAACCAGAAGAGGCTTGCACCTTTCCCAGGATCGAAGGGACAGCCGTAAAGACCCACCTTGATTCCATTGGTCTCCCGGATTAACCGGTTGACGTCCTGGGCGTCTGTCGTCAGTTTCCAGGGGTTGTGTTGCAGGATGATACCCTCGCCCGCACAGCTGTACAGGGTCACAGCCGGCCCATCCCCATCCCCACCTGTTACGGAGAGACAGCCGGTCAGTGTCACCCATCACGGGAGGTTTAATCACGGTGCGCTACATCCCAAGATAAAGCAAGACTCACCGGTTGCCAAGGGGGGCAGTGGTGGGCCCCAAGCCAGGGTGTAAACTGTTTTCCTGTGATAGGAGCTGGAAATCTGAGGGGGCCTGCAAGCAATCCAAAGTAGAAATGTCAACTATTGGGGAACGTAGTTTTTAAGGTAAAACAGCCCGTTAAGGTAAAAGGGTCTGTTTCCATGCTGTATGACTCTATGACTGGCAGTATTTGTGCAGAGAGAGAGAGAAAGAGTTAACACTTCAAGTCCATTGTGACTCTACTTTAGAACTATAAGTTCCAGCATCCAGTCTTTCAGATTCCCCCTCAGTATGTTATATACCTCAATAAGATGACCTCGTGTTGTATCCAAAGATGAGAGGTCTGTCCTTCAAGCAGGAATCATAGCGAACGGGCTGATGCTTTCTAGAGTTTACAAGGACAGGTGATCTCACTGAAATGAATGAAATTCTTAGACAGGGTAGATGGTGACAGTCAACTCCCTCACTGCACAGTCAACCAGGAACTAGGGATCAGTCTCTGGATAAAGGGGCAGCTATTTCAGACCTGGAGAAGGAGAAACTTCTATGTTCAGAGGTTGGGAATTCTCTGGCCCCGAATGCTGTCAATGCTTAGTTAGGAAGGGCACTCAAGTCTATGATTGTTTGAACTGAGGCCTCCAAAGGGGATTGAAAAGGAACGTGGAAGTTGTGACTGAAGTCCAGCCATGATCTGGTTGAATGGCAGAGAAGATCTGAGGGGCTGAATGGCCTCATTTCACTCTTATTTCTCATGTTCAGATGAAGCAGCTGAATATTGATAGGGTAAAAGCTTCTGTCCTTTGGAAAGCCACGCTGCCCTGCCCTTACCCAAGGAAACAAAGACAAGCAGAGAGCAGTATCATGGCTCAGTGGTTAGCACTGCTGCCTCACACAGCCAGGGATTCGGAGTTCAATTCCACCCTTGGGTCACTGACTGTGTGGAGTTTGCATATTCCCCCCCGGTGTCTGCGTGGGTTTCCTCCCAAAGTCCAAAGATGTGCAGGCTAGGTGGATTGGCCATGGGAAATGCAGGTTTGCAGGTTTACAGGGATAAGGTTCGGAGGGTCTGGGGGTCCCAGGGGCAGTGGAGAATGCCCTTCAGAGGGTCAGTGTGGACCCAATGAGCCGAATGGCTTGCTTCCATACTGTTGGGATTCTATGAGCAGCAGCTGTAACTGCAAGATATCCTGGGACAGAACACAGGTCAGTCCCACACCATGGCTATGCATTTACTTAGCATCCTGTCCCCACCTAGCAGACACTATATCGTTCAATTGAGTCAACTGAATTCAAAGCCTCAGCTGTGGCTCAGAGGGTAACAGACTGGCCTCAAGGTCTGGAGACCGTAGTTCGAGTCCTGTTCAAGAGCCATACTGATGGAGCTTCTATCTTCTGAACGATATTAACTCATGGGTCTTAGGTTAAGTAAGGTGGCCACTGTACTGAAGGGGAGCAAGGTAGTCCTGATCAGGGGTCAATACTTCAAACAACAGCTAAAGCGCAAGCTTTAATGGTTGTTACTACGTTACTGCTTACGGGATCTTGCTGTGCACAAATCAGCTCCTGTGTTTCTTACTACAAAAACATTTAATTAAAATAAAGCATAAGGCGTGCATTTTATAAAATGCCTTTCAGAGCTCCAGGCTGTCACTGCTGTGACGTAGGAAACATCACAGCCAAACCGTGCACAGCAAGCTCCCATAAACAGCAATTTGACGACAACCAGGCAATACTTTTTAAAACTGACGTGGATCAAAGGATAAATTTGGATCAGGACATCAGGGATTATCTCCCTGCGTTACACAAAATGAGTGGCCATGAACACTGTAAAGACAGGGAAGACAAGGACCATGGTTTGACATGCAGTAGAAGTGATGACACCTCCAAACCTAGTGGTATTATTAGTTTTGAGGAAGTTAACTCAGATTTATCTCCACAGATACTGCCTGACCTGCTGAGATTTTCCAGCAATTTCTGTTTTTGCTGCAAGTGGTATTATTGCTAGAATACTGATCCTGGTCATGTTCTAATCCAGTCTTGGCAGGCGGTGGAATTTGAATTCAATAATATGGAATTAAAAGTTTAATGATGACTACGAAACCATTGCCAATTGTCAGGAAAAATCCATCTGATTCGCTAATGACCTTAGGGAAGGAAATCTGCCATCCTTACCCGGTCTGGCCTACATGTGACTCCAGACCCACAGCAATGTGGTATCTGTTCAAATGCCCTCTGGCAATTTGGGATGGACAATAAATAATGGCTTAACCAGTGACACTCACATCCCTGATTGAATTTTTTGTTTTTAAAGATGTCTCCTGAATCAGGAGGCAAGTGTGTGAACACCTCACAGTTGACATTCCTGTTTGGCACTTTGGGATACCCAGTAAAAAGGTTCTACACAAACGCACATTCGTTCTTTACTTACTTGTTGGAATAAATTTCATAAATGCCAACTTTGCCATCATCAGTTCCGAATGCCAATGTGCTCTCTTTGGTTGGATGCCAACACAACTGCAACAAACAGAAACAAAAATAACAAAAACCCCCATCAACCAACAACAACGACACCCGTTAAAAAAAAAACCCATCTGGTTCACGCAAGTCCCTTCAGGGAAGGGAATCTGCCACCTGTCCCCCGATCTGGCCAACATGTGACTCCAGACCCACAGCAATGTGGTATCTGTTCAAAGGCCCTCTGAAATGGCCACAGTAAGCCACTCAGTACAAGGGCAATCGTCATTTTATTCACCATGTTATTCCTTCCAATGATCAGTTACTAATAGATCCCACTGTCTTTGCCACAATATCGATCAGCTGTGAGTTATCCAATCAGTTCCGTGCCCCTGGTCCAGATGTTCCCGTTTGCCAATCATGGAGTCAGGGTCTTCGCTCTGTGCATTTTCTCTAAGCCTCCCGTGAAGCAGATGGACTGTGGTGGGTCAGTGGTATTTTGCTTGTCAGTGGAAGGGGGAGGTGAGCAATGGATGATCACTGGGAGACGACAGTCCTTCCCAACGGAGGTGGGGTGCGTGTTGGTGGTGGTAGTAGTGGGAGACAGCTCCCATTCTCTTTGCTGACTGTGTTGGCATTATCACTGGTAATTCAGTCTCCCACATTGCGTTAACACTCAGCAGTGGAAGTGGAGTGTTTTTCCCTCGGGTACAAGGTTTATGGAGTAGCATACACTGCCCAAGTCTCAGAGACCGTTTCCGCCCCCTCCCCGCCCCACCACACCACCCCGCAACCCCCCCCACCCCCACCGGTGCCGCCCCCCGCCCCCCCACCCCACCACTGCCGC